ACGGGAAAAATGAGTTCGAGTGTTCAAATGGAAAATTTAAAAGTTTATGTATCGATTTTTAAAATCCCGTCAAGTTTAAGTGGCCAGGAAGCCATTCCGCCTTGTTAATTTACAATTATGCTAATTGTGATCTCCTTCACCTTGTATTTTGTGGATTCCTCAACAACCCAAAACCAATGAATAACGAAAAAGGTAATAACTTAGACAATTGTCCATAGGGCTGCTTAACGGGCGGTTATTTACTCTTAACGGTTTGGCTTATCGGTTATCAATTTTTAAATGTATTAATCTGCTAACCACCCGATAAGATATCGGGCGAATTGGTATCAGTTTAGCTATTATCGGACGATTATCGGTTTAGTTTCAATTGATTGAAATGATGATATTCTTCAGTGGTGGGGGTAGGGATGTGAAGTACATAGATGAACATACTGATGGACTGACTGCTTTTAATTTGTATGTTCTGCAGGTAAAGCTGCAATTCTTGGTCAAAGTGAGGTTTAACTATAAGCGGTGAAGTTATGATTCAGACTTGTAAATATATACTACGTATCTGTTATGTAAAGATGGTTCCACTCCATATTAGTGGAAACTGCATCTTCTTACTCATCATGTGCAGGCTTGATACTGAGGTTATCTTTTGTCGTGTGTGGGAGGACTAGATTTTGTTGGATCTCATTTTGGGGTTTTAGGGGGAGATCGCGTCCTGCACATATAAATGCCTTTTGTACCAGATGAATTGTGTTTTCAACTATGATGCTTAGCTTATGGCAATGGTTGATATTAGCAGTAATAACCTGAGAGCTGTCACTGCTGGTTGTGGTTGAAGATATTGTTGCTCTGTAAATTTTGTTGTAACTCGCTTGTGTCCTTTCTGCTGCTACTCTTCCGGATTTTGCTAAGAAAAGTTGACATGAAACTAATTAGAAGTTGCAGTGTCTCCTAGCTTTGCTTTGGCTATATAGTAAACTGTTTAAAGTTAAAGTTNTAGTATCGATTTCGGTTCGATTTTCGGTTTTGAACACCCCTAATTGTCCATCGCCTCCATGCATGACGTTATTTGTCAAAAATCTTTTGAAATATTGCCAACAAAAAGTGTAGATGGACCTATTTTAACCAATACGAAAAGCTGAAAAATAGACCTATATATTCTAACCGATATTAGAAGTCGAAATAAATTTTAGAATTTGCAACGATAATTACTGACGTGATAAGGATACTATTCACGTACGCTTGTATATGACCAAATGGTGAATACGCCTTTATCACACACAAGGAGGAACATTATCACCACAATAGGTGAAGTATAACAAGAATAAATTAGTTAAATCTGTAGTAGATTAGTTGTAGCTTAAGTCCTATCTTCCTTTAAATCAGTTAACTGTTTACAGTAAACAATTTGACGACAAATTCAATTTTTTCTTGTCGCATACAAATTCAACTCCTCGAACATTAATGTAATGCTCTTACATTCGTGTTCAACAGTGTTATTGATACTGTTGAAACATCAGAAATTCATAAAACCGTAATTTAAATGATAGAGAACGAAGTCTAGTTTAGTGGCAAGTCATGTAGCCAAAAGGGCATCATTCAACTACAATGTTAGAATCGTTTAATTTATCTTCAATTTAATTTTAAAAAAAGAAAATTGATTGGCCCTTACCAACATGCACGAGACTGTTTCCACAACTTAAACCCACGACTTCCTAATTATATGCCTTAAACCCACGATTATATGACTGACAACTTTTACCGTTGCGCCAATGCTCTCGTCGGCTAAAAGATCTTGCTACAGACTAAAAAGTATATCTTCCATGTATTAAAGAAATTGTTTGGTTGGTCCTCACCAACATGGAGTGATAAAGCCACACAAAAATGCCACGGTCGCAACATAATGTCTGCTGAACAAGAAATTAACTTTCACATAACTATATAGTCCGTCCACAAAATTTCAACTGGAAAACAACACAATTTTCCAGCTTGAAAGGACTAAACACTGAACAGCCATTGAACAAACAAGACGCAAATCTCCTCAACAGCACCAGCATATATGGATACAAAATTCCCAAACATTACATTTCTCAAGTTAAGGACATTCGTAGGAAAATTCAAGGATTACTAGTAAAGCAAGAGTTTTGTTTTACATTACTATCTTAGACCAAGTATGCTGGTTTCATATCGGAGGAAAGGCGGTAGGAAAGCTACTCTTCATCCACCACAACACTGATCTCACCTTTCTCAAGCATATCATAAAATTCCTTGGCTCTCCTCTGGTTATTCCAGTGGTGCATCTTCCACAAGCCTCCCGCGCGATGCCAAGTGCAATCCCAATCAGTATTTCCTTCACCACACTTGGACCCTTGTATGCAGCATGGGCAATATGAGAACCTGCCATTTTTCCTCCCTTTTTTTGGTGGGGGTGGTCAGACAAAGAAAAGTGTTAGCTCTGAGAACTATTACTATACTACTTGCTTAAAAGAAAAAAGACTATCACCATATTAATTGTTGCCTACTTCTGAATAAACTAGAGGTAGCAAATAGATGGGTTGTGTCAGCTTGGACGGGTCAAAATTGGTCGAATTAATAAACATGTGGTGATCAACCCACTCAAAGTTTGCTCGGGTGAAAACTGGCCTGCTGGGCCAAGATGGATCAAATAACGGGTCAACCCGTCCAACATGACACCACTTCCCTCCCCTTTTTTTTTATTTTTCTGTTTAAAAAGAAAAAAATGGGAAAGTTACTATATATATATATATTCTTAAAATTATCAGCTTAAGTTCTTCAAGATTTACATAATTTCCAATCTCACCAAATTTGATTTTTGTATGTTTGTGTTAAATTACAATTTGGCTCGTGTTGATCCAATAGTTAGATGAGTCATTTCGAGTTTAACCTGTTGGATCAAGTCAACAAACAAATAATAACCCAATCTTTTAAAACTTCCATGGGTTAAAAAAACATGGGTTGGGTTGATTCTGCCCCTCTATAAGCAAGTAAAACACTCCAGTTACTTCCTCATACATGCGATCACACATACAGCATCCAGAGTTTTTTATTCATATCATAAAAAACAGAAGTACAAGCTAAATTTCCTGTTTCTTTCCGGCTCATTTCGTTCCAAAATCAACCTACTACTATTTCCCTTCTAACGCAAATCAACCTGAGACATATGACAAGCACAACACTAATACTACTATACAAAAAGAGCAACTAAACCTTAGACAAGTCTCTTAAAGCGTATATACCTTCTTCTTTTTTCAAGTTTGGAAATTTTTAATCCAAATAAATCATCGACTTTGGGTGTGTTTGGTATAACTGAAAATGTTTTTGGTGAAAAATGTTTTCTTGGAAAACAAGTAGTAATATTACTCATTTTTCGGTGATTGGTACGCAAATTAAGGAAAATAACTTCTCAAAAGTATTCATAAATAATTTAGATACAATAAACATGAAACCATAAACTTTCGAACCAATAACCTTCCGAACCCACAAATTTCATAAACTTCTGAACCGCAAAACTTTCGAACCCGTAAACTCTATAATTTCTAAACCCGTAAACATCCAAACACATAAACCTCCCAACTCATAACTTTGGAACTCGTAAAATTTCGAACCTGTAAACTGAAAAATGAAAAAACCAGAATTGAAAATATATAAAAAAAATAAATAATTGCGGGCGGGGGTGAGTGAGTGGCGCATAAAAACGAAAAAAAAAGAAAAAGTAAAAAAAATTGCGGAGGGGTGAGGGGTTGGGATTGGTAGGTGGTGCAGAAAAACGAAAAAACAAAAAATAGAAAATTAAAAATAAAAAAAATAAAAAATTGGGGATTGACGGGGTTGGGTTGGGGTAGGTGGGTGATACAAAAAAAAATAGAAAATTGAAGTGGGAGGGAATTGGGGTACGTGAGGGTAGGTGGAGTTTTTAGAAAAATATTTTTCTGACTTTTTCTAAATAAATCATTTTTCTCCAATTAAAAAAAAATTTGATATCTAGGAAAATATTTTTCAAACTATTTTTTACCAGCAAATAGCCGAACACACTCTTTATCGCATACCATTTTCTGTTGCTTCCTTTCTCGCGTACCATTTTCTGTTGCTTCCTTTCTCGCGTAGGCAAACAACTTCGATTTAAATTTCCTACTTCGCAGCATGCAAACATCAAACAAACTGGAGAAAATACAAGAATTAAAGAGAAAACCATGCAAAAAAAAAAAAAAAAGGATTCAGAAAGAAACATACCTCCGGAAAATCGGTGACGGACAAAAACCAGCGAGAATTGAGCAGACGGAATTGGAAGAGGTATAAAAACTGGGTAGTATTCTCGTTTAGGGGTAGATTTCGTGCGGCGTGTCACACGCTATTTAATTTAGTCCCCTGAGAATTAATTAAAGAATCATTTGAAAGATTACTATATCGCAATTACTCGTATTTACTAGTTAGTTACAGTTCGGAATTTTCTGGTATCTTGCCAACCCGAAATGAACGGGTTTCATGACACGTCAGTATGGATTTGTTTCTTCTTTCTTTCCCTTTTTAGACCGGACATTTTGTTTTTGAGTGAATGAGGAGGACTAGGGTCTAGGGGTGAGAAATAGAAATTATTATGTATATTCTTTGAATAAGAAAAATCAAATTTAATCGATGTACAGATTAATTTGTTTTCTTAGAAATGTTAAAATTTTGGGTTTGTTTATAAGTTAGTCTACACATATTTGTGATCCTTATCTGAAAATATAATTTCATTCAATATGAGTATCACATAGATTAGTTTTTTTTTGGTACAAATACCTCAATCTTTTTGTTTTCGCAAGTCAAGACTTATTTTACTCATCTGTATTTTTCGAATTTGATTGAGATACATTATTTTATTAAAAGTAAATGAAATAATTCATTGTTTAAGTTTCATATTGAGATTTGCATCTAGTTCCACGAGACATAAATCGAAAAGCGAGAAGTGAAAGTGTACAATTTATGAACATTAGAAAGTAGCAAAAATATAAAATTTTTGTAAATTGCAATAAACATAACTAACATCAGCCACCCAAAAACAACAATGCCGGTATTAGTCCACAATTCTTCAAAGTTCGAGACTCAAATAACTGTCCACTTCTCATTTGAAGCGCACACTTGTATTAATTTAATCACTTCACCAATGAAGTAATAATAAACGAAATAACAAGAAGCAGAGCTAAGCCAAACTCTCCTCCTCTATTTACCCAAAACAACGAAATGACAATAGAGGATCCAATACACGCCAAAGCTTGAGGTAAGGCACATGTCTGAAAATTTTGAAGGCGTTCACATGTCTAGAAAGATATAAACAGATCGTTGAGCTCAGTTCAGGAGAAATTAAAGAGCTAGCTTATTGCTCGATCAATTGGAGTAATATAAGCTCGATTACTCCCACAGATTTTGGCTTTGCGTTACAACACATATAGATGAATCCAGCAATAATAGAAATCTGAATGAAAATTTGTGCCATGTCAAAACATCTTTCCATTCAAGTAGAACAAAATATAACGACACTCATGCAAATATTTTCTATTTGGCTACACAATAAAGTTGGAATCGTTTCCGCCTTTTAACTTTAAGAATATTTGTGTACAAATATACATACATGCATCAATACATATGTGTGCACATACATACATACATACATACATTTGAGTGAAAGAAATACACACATACACATATATTTGATACGTAAAGACAAATGTTTATTTTTGTTTATAGGTTTGCCACATATTTTATTTAAACGGATAAGAGATAGCAATTTAAAAGAAAGGGACAAGTAAGTGAAATCAACATGGACAGAGGGCTATGGAACACATTTTAAGAAAAGGCCAACATCATGGTCTTGAAGGAGGATGTCTATGCAGTGAAAGGTTTTATCTCTATTTCTTAAGTCAAAACCACTTGAATTTTTTCCCTGAATTTGAGTTAGGAAGCAAATCCAGCAATAAAGAAGTAGAAGAATAAAAAGAAGGATCGACATGTTCACTCCAGTTCAGCCAAAGAAAAATATCTCCTCCTATAAATCCATTTAGTGACTGACCGGTGTGTAAAGAATTGAGAGAACAGGAAACTGAATACAGTTCATAGTTGAGTACTGGAATGTTCTGTGGCTCATTAATATTGAAGATAATAAGACTACCTTCTATTAGAGGGATATTCTACAATCATTATCAATTGGTTATAACTCTTTTTGGACCCAAATGGACTAGTTCTGAAGATACAAGTGAAGCATAATTCAAAAAGCAAAAATCACGAACAAATCATCTAATTCTGGTGCACTCCAAGTATGAACATAGATTGCCTTTGCCTTCCATGTTTCCTATCGGATCTACAGAGAAAATATAATTACCTACAACAAAGATAAATTTAACTCAATCTGATCTAATTAGCAGCTGACCTTTAGCTTAAATTCTTCAAAATTTTGTTCTTAAGCATAGATGACGCCTCTTGCCATGAAGATAGGGGCAAAAGCCACCAACTCCCCAGAATTCCAACAAGAGTAAACTCCTGATCTTTTAGTTCGACCTTAGCTAGAGAGAGAAACAGATAATCTGCAACTTCAACTTTCTTTGCATATAATGACTGCAGGAAGAAGTTTTAAGAGGACAGCTACAAGTATCAGTAAGTCACATTAAAAAAATGAGCATATGTTTTCTAACTGAAAGGTGCCACATCCTATTTCACGATGTGCTATAGTATCAACTGCATGAATGCAATTAATTTGGCTATTTTGACTACCTGAACTTGAAATAAATTGCCAGCAACATCCATCCTCACACTACACCGAGGAGCTAAATCATGAAACTAACCTTGAACTTATAGATAAATGGTTGTTCGCGAACTGCTTGATGTCGCAACTGAAATATTTCACATCAAGTGTGAGCAAAACATATCAGATATCTACCTCTTGATTGAGATGATGCTATATGCACGCTAAAATACAAACTCCATTAACAATTTTTATGGAATAGATAGAGGCAAAAAGAGCAGCCCGGTGCACTAAGCTCCCGCTATGCGCGGGGTCCGGAAAAGGGCCGGACCACAAGGGTCTATTGTACGCAACCTTACCCTGCATTTTTGCAAGAGGCTGTTATAAAAGGAAACATGTTAATTAATCCACCACAAACTGTCGATGAATCCAGCTATTCTGCCCCTGCTCTAGCGCAGATGAAGGACTTGGACATAATGTATAGAAAGAATGGTCCCTTACCTGTTCGACAAGGACATAAACTGATAAAGGGCTTGGCTTTGTCGTAAGAAGAATAATAGTGACTTTAGTTGCAATAATTAATGGATGACCCCAGTTCATCAACACAGTAATCACAAACAAGAGAGGAACCAACAGCTTCCTTAAAGTCATTAAGAGAGATCGACGGTTTTCTTCAGTATCTGAATCACCGAACATGCCCAAATGATGGTCATCCAATAGACCATCAAGACCTAGAATGTCATTAGAAAAGAGTAAATATTCACATAAAATTAATTAGACCACACTTTCCTAGGCATGAATAACATGCTGCATTTAGAAAAGAGAGCTGGTACATTTATAGAATGTTTAATTCAAATTATCATAACCATAAACTTCTCACCATCAGAAGAATATGCAATGCGAGGAGAAAGCTTAATAGATCCAAGCAAAGCCGACAAACCAAATGCACTCCATAAAGTGTAACTGCGCCCTACGAGTTTACCAACAAAGAAACAAAGATATTCAATACAAATCAGGAATCACAAGTGGTCGTAAAGGCTAACTAAAAATATAGAACAAAAAGCACCAGCAATGTTTTATATCTTTTTGTTGCACAACTTAATAAGAAAAAAAGGGAATTATACTCAATAACTATCAATCGCAACCTACTCAATGATGCAAAAGATAAAGATAAGCTCATTAAGTTATGCCCTCAATTCAAAATCAACTAAACCTTTTATAAATAGGATGGATGCAACTAAAACAACACATTTTAATTAGCGACTAAACATTAGTAAACACTTGATTTACATAATATACCAATTCAACTTTTGTATTTGAAAAAAAAAGGAAATTAACATGTGCAGATAAATACATAGATCTTCAGTGATAGATGAAGATAAGCATTTCCCGTATTTTCCAACTGATAAACTAGGAAAGAACCATGACACATACCAGTAGTTCTAAGTTGAGTCTGCTTAACTTGAATCTTACACTATATTTGGCAAGAACAAAAGGAGGACGGAATGTAAAAGTGGAAAGGTAGATGTCCTACAAGTTAAAGTTTTCATTACATTTCAAAGTACCATGGAAAAAACAGTATTTCATTTCTCTTCTATTTTCCTTTATACTATAACAATCTACCTATGCATTGACTACTACATCTTAGGGACGGAAGTGATCCTAAAAGAGAAGTCTTTCTTTAAAGTTATGAAACTGTAAGCTGCTCTCTCCTCTCGTTGGACCAAACATCGTGTTACAATGCCATACTAAAACACCACTTGGGGGCAGCTCCGACTTCCTAATAAGCTTCGTAAACAAAAACATCACAACTCTAACAAGGTACACAACCTTCAGCGAAGAAATAAGGTGACCAGCTGGAAGTTTTTGAAATCCCAACAATATTTTCTATATAAAAAGAATCCGGAAAGCCATCAGGCTACAGAGACTATACTCCAAAACTTACCTGAATTTTGTACTTTTCTAAAGTAATGGTGGAATGTCTCAAAATTAGATCCCCCAGCGAACTTTGACACCCGACTGTACATCTGAGGCTTTAGGCATCTCATGAAGATCTTCAAAGGTGCAAATTTTCCATCAACTGCAACAAATTATGAAGAAAAAGAAACAGATATCTGAATTTGCTACACCTATAAAAGAGAAAAAAGAATGATTCAACAAACTACAAATAGCAGGATGACTGTGATTTTAATTATACTCCCTCTGCCCCATTTTATGTGGCGCACTTTTAGTCTAGAATGACATCATTTTTTATTTAGAAACAAATTAACTTTAAACTTCCATTTACCCTAATGAGATGATTTAGCTGTATAAATGTCTATTGCTTATTTTAAACTACAAGTTTCAAGAGTCTTTCTTGTTTTCTTAACCTCTGTATCCAGTCAAACACCTCATATAAATTGGGATGTGGGTCTGATACCAAATACTTAGCTAGTGTACTTTCCATTGGAACTGAATGCAATATTGGTATGTTCCATAAGTTTTACTCCCTTTGTCCCAATTTATGCTATACTTTTCCTTTTAGTCTATCACAAATAGAATGACACATTTTTATTTATTTTTAGATTAACTTTAAACTTCTTAATGAAATGTCTATGACTTGTTTTAAATTATAAATTTTAAAAGTCTTTCTTTCTTTCTTAAACTTTATGTTCAATCAAACACATCATATAAATTAGGACAGAGGGAGTAATAATTAATTTTCATGTAAAAGTAGTGAAGGCCCATACTAAGTGAACCTGGGTATGTAGTTTGTTTCTAAATTTTATATTTAGAAATAATTTAACATTGAAATTCAATTTTATCCTTAATAAAATGATTTATAACCACATATTCTATGACTTGTTTATAATCAGGAGTTGCAAAAGTCCTTTGTTTCTTAAACTTTGCCCCACAAACACCTTCACATAAATTGGTAATAATTAATTTTCATGTAAAAGTAGCGCAGGCGTAAAGAGAATAGGAACTTACATGGGATTGTGGAACGATAGAGATGGAAGTAAGGAGAGGTAATAGAGGCCAGAGAAGTCCCAAATGGCTGTAAATATCTTACTGCATACATTATTGAAAATGAATGTAAAAAGTAATTTATCAGTATTTCAAGTTTCTGCTCATTGCGGAGAAAAAAAATTGAAGCTTCATAGGCGTCTGTCGACGGTCGGAATTGTCAGCTCCGAGAAGAAATTGAACAGAGTAGCTGGATTTGCCAGCCGTAACCAAACGTGTGCGACGACGGAAATCTCGCCGTTTCACCTGCAGGAAAGCCACGCAATTGATTAATATTGAATAATGACAATAATGGTTCTTTATATTTGGAGTTAGGTTCAAAATGGTCCCTTAAATATATCTTAAATAATTTTCATCCTTTAAGTTTGCCAAAATTAAACACTTTTGGTTATTAAACTTTTCGGAATCGTGTTTAGTTTTTCTCCATGAATTCATGGAGGTACAATTTCTCTAGTCTCTAAAATATTTGGTATTTTTTGGAGCCTAATGCATCTTTTAGGTGTAATTTCTACTATTTTTTAATTATTTTTATGTCAAATATAATCTTTTATTATTATTAGTTTTAGATTTAACGGAATTTGTTGGAATTTTTTATTAAATATTTTTCACAATTTGCATAAAATCTAACAGTCAAAGTTTATTAATTATTTAACAAAGATCAAAAGTGCTCATTCGTAACAAACTTAGATGACCAAAGTTGTTAAAAGTATATTTCAGGGATCAATTTGACCCTATCCCAAACATAAGGGATCATTTTGTCATTTTATCAATATCATATGATTACCATTTTTCAATAAAGTTAAGTTAGATAATGTGAAATTGAAAAAAGGTTTAATAAATTCATTCACTCCAGTATAACAAATGCAAAAAAAATAAAATGTTAATATAGCTTATTGAGTTATCAAGCTGAACTGTGTGTATAAGGAGTTTGGTGTGATGACTTGCTAGTTGAAAATCATAATTTTGATGATCATATTAGGTTTTAGGTCTTCTTGGCCTTTTACAATGTTTAATTTAAGAAAATATCTTTTTTAAATCTCTTATGTGTAAATGAAAGATCTCTTATGTGTAAAAGTAAATCTCTCATGTGTAAAATAAAAGGTAGGGTCATAAAACTAAAAACAAATTTGTAAAAGGCCAAAAAACCAATTAACCCATCATATTATGTATTTCAGTAAATTATCATTTTCATGAAAATAAGTGCACCACAATAATTAATAGTTGTATTATTGGTGTTATATAACTCAAAACATTGGATTTAAAGTCAAAATACCTGCAAGATGACTTGGGATAAGATCTCATCCTAGGTAGGCTAAAGCTAGACTTAATTTCTTTAGTGGTTGTTTACTCGAAAAACGGATAGAGTTGAATTTATTCGTAGTTCTAAGGATATGTGATATATCTCAATACAAACTGTAAGGATAGAAGAAAATATCAAATATGGACCGTAGAGAAGACAAAATAAACATACTTGTAACGAAGGCGATTTTTTGGGATTAAGTAAAATGAATCAGTTTATGAGGCTTTAAAGAATAACTCATGAATATAAGAGAATATGGTACTTCAATTACAATGTGTCCTTCAATAACCCCCCAGAAACCCCCTTTATAGTAGAGGGACATTACTTTAAATATAATTAAAAAATATTCAGTGGGAAATCCATGATAAATCAGCTTTTCCAGAATTCCTTCCAAGATTCTCTCATCTAGTGGGATTGCAACGGCTTATGTCTGTGAGTTCGATCTGACTTGGGCTTCGATCTCGGCTTGAGCCCGATTCTAACTCGAGCTCTCGATCTTTGGCTTAGGCTCGATTCTGATTCGGACCTTTGAATTGATTCGAGGTCGATGTTGGTTGGTCTCTGGCTCATAAGCTTGATAGCTTTATCTACATCATAGTCCGATTTGGATTCGAGCTTAGTAACAATATCGAACTCGACATTGATCGGCCCCTCGGGTTCGAGGCTTGTTTGCTCCATCTTCGGAAACCATCTCGAAGTCTTACTTCAATCGATTCTCGTTCGAACTTGAACACACGTGCGAAGGTCGAAATCTATTTCGACCGTATACCGTGGTCACTAACTTACGAGAATATTTTACCTAAGTTATTTTTGTTTGGTTTGGGATAACAAAGTTATTCAATTATTATTTTTTGGCTTAAAAACCAAAGAATTCCCATTTAGTATGCCATGTCAAACTAAAAAATATAATTTAATTATAAAATCAATGTCTCTTATACCCATTTAATCTACCCGATAAGTAAATGGGCCTATATTAAATGATCGTAGACAAAATTGGTCATAGTTGCCATTTTATTGTTTCTGTTGTATGATGGTTTAATATATTAATGATAAGAACTTTCTAAAGTAGAGCCAATTTTTTTCAAACTATTATATATTAAATTATTAGAATAATTTACATTCTCTAAAGGCCAGAAAATAGTAAGAAAGAGGGGTGAAATATGGTTGTTCAAAACAGAACTGTAACCGTGAACCGAACCTTAAAATTGACTTATTGGCGTATTGGTATCGGGTTATTGGAGTAATGGTTGGTGAACGGATTGCGATTTTATAATTAATGGCTTAACGGTTTGGGGGCAGATTACTCACTTTTTTCTTATCGGATAAACCATTAACCCGTTAAAAAATTTTATATTTATATTTTTACCTCTATGTATATAAATTACTATCCTATATCCTTATCCATAGAAATTTATGGAGAGAAGGTGGCACACAGTAAAAGCTTTCTGAGAGAAGAGACAAAAAAGAATCTTCGGTCCCAAGAATTATCATCTAAATTGATCTCTGTGGCAGAATGAGCTAAAACTGCTGGAATTTAAAAGTTATTCCTGTGAGAAAGTGAGTTTCCACGACCCTTTATTTGTATAGTAGAATCCAGGCTGATATCTTAAAATTTTGTGTTAGAAATTTTAATATGACTTCATATACGTTCAATGTTTCTTTTGTTGCCTATGTTATCCGGATTATGTTCTGTTTCCTTTCTCTTCTTTTTTTAGCAGTGAGTACAAAATATTTAATCTGGTATCGGTTTCAAGACAAATGTTCACTATGGTAATTGAATGCAATTCAAGGTGACATATCCTAAATTTTTTCTTATCTCTAATTCTCTATTTATTTTTTATTGTCTATTAGATTTAGCCGATAAACCGCCCGATAACCACTAATCCGTTACCATTCTGCCGGAAATCGTATTGGTTGGCTAGTGGATTACTACATTTATAAACCGATAACCAATAAGTCAAACCGTTAAGCATAAATATCCGTTCGATCTGCCCCGATAAGCACCCCTAGGTGAAAGCCAAAATATTACACATTTTAAAGTTAATAATCATTTTTTAATTTGATTAATTGAATAACCTGTTTTAATTTAAGAATAAGTTATACTGCATGTATACTTCCCTATGAAGATACTAGACTTCCAGATTTGGTTTTAAAAGTAATTCTGAAAAAGATTCGTGTATTTAGTTCATTAGCTTTTGGTTTCTACTGTAGATTTTTAAAGCCTTACCTTTTGGAGGTACAAAAGCAACGAACATTGAATAATGAACCACAAGAAAGAGCTTCTAACATCAGATTTGGTGGTATTGTTTTTCCATAAAATGGTATAATTAAATTTATAATGTGATTTGTAGATACGTGGATTAAATTGGTTCGAAAAAGTAAAATAATGAAAAGCAAAAGAGAGTAAAATAAGAATAATTAAAGAAAAGACATACTTGAGCTTTCTTCTTCGGAAACAAGAACAGTGCCAAAAACTTAATATTAGCATAATAGAGTTTTGCAGAATAAGAGAGTAGTATTAGTCTTTTTTCACACAAGTATTTTCTCTCCTTCAATGAGTACAAATTTCTCTATTTATAGCTAAATTAGGGGAGACAAGATCCCCAAATCATGCTCCTCTTTAAGGTGAATAATGACCCCTCTTGATAGCAACATAACAATTGATAATAAATGTTATGATTTTCTGTAACGGTTGCTCCTTTAATGTTGCCTTCTTCGATCGGTATCTTTCTTTCACATTTTCTTCCCCAACCTTGATGTCTTTTGAACTTATGCAATACCGATCACCTGTTTGTACCCGATGTTAGCTATTTATTGACTCATCTCCTATCTGTCTTCGCAGCCACGTGTCAACACAAAACTCATCCATCTATCATTTGTTAATTTTATGAAATACAAATAATCCCCCTACATTCCGGTGACTCGAGTTGATGTGACCGGAAAGTAGATAAAGCTTTCTCTTTTCTTGGCGGGAAAGTTCTTAAACGGGTTTTTACACTTGAAAGGGCGTATGTCTCTTTTCATTTAATGAGCCGAATACGTATTGACATGTGATTCGACAAGTATTTTCGCCAGTTACCTAGATAATGATGGCCTTGCATTGTGCCGCCTATAAACTTCTCCCCCTTTTTACCACTTTCATATTTCACTTTTACAATCTTTCTTCTCCGAGTCTTCTTAAAGCTTTCCTGTAACTCCCTTTTTCTCAGAATATTCGTTCTTTTCATCACCATGTCTTTTGCTATTTCTTCCTCCTATAACTCATCTTCCACCCCTAAACAACATAATTTTATTTTAACCTCTTCATCTAACGGCACCAGGGCTTGCATCGGCGGCGCCCCATCCAAGAAGAACAAGTCTAAGAAACCCCATGTCGGACCTCCCTTTACAAACACAATTATCCCTTCCCAGAGGTCTTTTTAAAAGGATAATTATTCACCACCACCCACTTACGCTCCAGTCTATAACACCCAGCCATATTACCACCCTTAACCATAATACACTCCTCTCTGAGCCAACAACAATCCGAACCCACAACGACCATATGCTCATGTCCAAACCACTAATCACCAAAACTGACTTGCTTATGCACCACGCCCTCGTCCCAACTTTGAAGAGAGGGGTCATAGAAATTACACTCCGATTACTGAGCCTCTGGTCCAATTGTTCGAGAGATTGAGAAAAGCAGGATTAATACATCCAGTTAAAGGAAAGGTTCCCGAATACCCCTCCAAGTATTTTGACGCAACTTAAAAATATGTATACCACTCCAACGTGCCTGGGAATGATAATGAAGATTATTTTAAGCTGAAAAATGAGATTGAAACACTGATTAAGAGTGAAGCCATCCAATGCACTCCAGCTCCGCCTAATGTAAATCGCAATCCGCTGCCAAATCACCAAAACCATGGAGTTAACATGATCACATTGGACGAAGAGTATGACCTAAAGGGAACGATTGTCACTATAGGAAATGAAGAAGCTGCCAAGATCCCTCCTCGAAGGGCTCCAATGATTACAGTACAAGTAAGACATAGGGAATACAAAACTGTCCCTTGGACGTACCAGCAAAAGGGGAAGGCCAAAATGACAGACCCTGCCGCAGCTCATGGTATGACTAGGTCCGGGAGATGTTACGCTCCTGATGATGTCAATCAAGGGAAATTAGGAAGAGAGAAAATTCAAAGAACGAACATAACAGACCCAGAAGCCGCTGAATTTTGGAAGAGAATGTTAAACAAAGAGTATTTTGTGGAGGAGAACTTGAAGAAAACTCCAGCACAGATATCAATTATGGATCTGTTAATGAGTTCCGACAGTCATAAGGACGCCCTATTAAAAGTACTAAGTGGAGTAAGTGTACCAAGTAACACTACCAGTGAGGCGCTGGCCGCGACAATTGGGAAAATGGTCGAAGCAAATATGATCACTTTCAGAAGAGACGAACTTCATGTCGAAGGCGCAAGTCACAACAAAGCTCTTCATATCACTGTCAAATGTGGGGTCAAAGTGGTGTCCCGAGTATTGGTTGATGGAGGGTCAGGAGTCAATATTTGTCTGCTCTCTACCCTACGAGAGTTAGATATTTATTTGAGGGAAGTCAAGGAAAACCACGTAAGGGTAAGAGCCTTTGATGGTTCGAAAAAGGATGTTATTGGATAAATTTATTTGGCCTTGCAGATCGGGCAGGTCGATTTTCCCATATTATTTCAAGTAATGGACATCTGCTGGGAAGGCCTTTGATACATATGGTAGGGGCCGTCCCATCCACTTTACACTAATGCATGAAATTTGAGTGGAGATATCAGGAGATCGTCGTTCATGGCGAGTGGGGTCACTCCGCTTATTTGGAGTGTGATGTTCCGTTAATTGAAGGGCTAGACGTAGTTGCTTTCCATGCAGTAGAAATCATGCAGACTACCGAAATAGAGGAGACTGAACAAAACCTGAGAGTGCAGTCACCATATAGATCCAAGATGGCTATGAGGGATATCAGCCTCCGGGGGGGGGGGGGGAGGGGGGAGGGGAAGCTAGTACTGTTAGCTCCGGGAAAAAGGCTTTTGTGCCAGAGCATATTTCAAGTCCGGGTCAGAGTTCAGTACCAGAAGATGATATCATCGTCGGGATGGAAAAGTTGTTAGTGAATATGATTGAAGAATGCTGTGAAGGGACTGACATCAAGACACCAACTATCAGGGATGCCGAACAAGGGGAAGAGCTGCATAATTGGATCGCCAATCCATCCTTGGTTCGCTGGGAGTCTTGGTAGTATGGAACTGTAAACGTTTTCTTTTGAAAAGAGCACAGTCAATTGAGGCATGCACCGTGTCTGTACCTTTTTTTCATTAGACTCTTTTGAACGCTTAAGACGTTCCTCTTTTGATGAAATAAAAAAATCATTTTCTCAAATATTTCTAATTTATTTACCACTTTATTTGTACCTAGCTTTTCTTTTCAGTAATCAAAATGCTAAAAACCCGCATTCTGCGATTATGACATGTAACAAAATCGTCGAGCTCAACGACCCATATTACAATAAATATGATGAGAGTATGATGCCATACAATCTCCCGCAGGAGATTGAACAACTGGAAAGTCCGAAAATTCCCAACCTCGAAGAAATGGAAGTGGTCAATCTTGGAAGTGAAGATGATGTAAAAGAAACTAGAATCAATATTCATTTAGAAGATGAGCAGAAGAAAAAACTGGTTGAGCTCCGACATTATATCGATGTGTTCGCATGGTCGTATAATGACATGGCTGGAATAATTACTGATATTGTCTAGCATCGACTTCCCACCAATCCTACCAGACCGCCGGTCAAGGAGAAGCCCAAGAAATTCAAACCTGATTTAAGTCTGAGTATAAAGGAAGAAGTGACCAAGCAGATAGAGGCGAATGTGGTAAGGGTCACCAATTATCCCAGTTGGTTGGCAAATATCGTCCCAGTACCTAAGAAAGACAAAAAGATCAGAATATGTGTGGATTACCAAGATCTCAACAAAGCTAGTTCAAAGTACGATTTCCCTCTGCAAAATATCCACATCCTCATCAACAACTGCGCGAAGTATGAACTGTAGTCGTTTGTGGATTGTTTCGTTGGGTACTACCAACTCTTGATGCACGAGGAAGATGCAGAGAAGACGGCATTCACCACACTTTGGGGAGTTTACTTCTTACAGAGTCATTCCGTTCCATCTCAAGAATGCGGGTACCACCTACACGAGGGCCATGACGACCCTTTTTCACGACATAATTCATAAGGAAAAGTGTATGTGGATGATGTCATCATAAAAGTTCAGAGCACTTGCATAATTTGAGGTTACAGTCTGAAGTTGAACCTGGCAAAGTGTGCATTCGGAGTCCCCGCTGGAAAACTGTTAGGCTTCATTGTAAGCAGGAAGGGAATAAAACTGGATCCAGCAAAAATCAAGGCCATTCAGGAATTACTGCCACCGAAGATCAAGAAAGACGTGATGAGTTTCCTGGGTAGATTGAATTACATCACTCGCTTCATAGCCCAGTCCATGGTAATTTGTGAACCCATTTTCAAGTTGTTGAAGAAAGATGCTGCCACAAATTGGACAGAAGAATACCAGAAGGCCTTTGATAGAATCAAGGAGTATCTGTCAAATCTACCAGTACTGGTTCCCCCAAACCCGGAAAGCCACTGCTACTATATTTGTAAGTCTTGGATAAAGCCTTCGGCTGTGTGTTGGGACATCATGACGAAAGTGGGAGACAGGAGCAGGCCATCTGTTACTTAAGTAAGAAGTTCACGCCATGTGAAGACAAGTATACTTTGATAGAACACACTTGTTGTGCTTTGACTTTGATTAACCAGAAACTAAGGCATTATATGTCGGCATACACTATGCATATGATATCTCGGATCGACCCGCTTAAGTATATCTTCCAGAAGCCGATGCCTACTGGAAAGCTAACTAAATGGAAAATTCTCGTCAGCGAATTTGACATTGTGTACATAACTCAGAAGGCTATCAAAGGGCAAGCTTTAGCCGACCATCTCGCAGAGAATCCAATGGATGGGGATTACAAGCTGCTTACCATATATTTTCCCGATAAAGAAGTATTATTTGCTATAGAGGATATTGCAGAATCATACCCTGGATGGAGAATATTTTTTCGATGGAGCAGCAAACTTCAAAGGAGTCAGAATTGGGGCGACGCTGATTTCAGAATATGGACAACACTATCCAGCATCGGCAAAGATAAAATTCCCTCGTACCAATAATATGGCTGAATAGGAAGCGTGTATCCTTGGGATCAGAATGACAGCCGACATGAACATCAAGGAACTTTTGGTCATAGGAGATTTTGATCTATTGATACACCAAGTCCAAGGGGAATTATCCCCCAAGAATGTCAAGATGCTCCCATGCCTGCACTGCGTGAAAGATCTATGCAAGAAGTTCACGAAGATTGAGTTCAAGCACGTCCCCAGGATTCAGAACGAGTTCGCCGACGCCCTTGCAACCCTATCATCTATGATTCAGAATACATACAAGAACTACATCGACCCTATTGAGGTAGAAATCAAGGATCAACATGCCTATTGCTTCCATGTAGATGAAGAACCAGATGGTAAACCATGGTATCACAATATTAAGAAATTCCTTGCAACTAGAGAATACCCGGAGAATGCTACTAATGGTCAAAAGAGAGCCCTCAAGAGGCTGGATAACCACCTTTTCCTCAATGGGGAAATCCTATACAGGAGGACCCCAGATCTAGGTTTGTTGATATGTGTAGACCCTGCCGAGGCAACCAGGTTATTAGAGGAAATACATGCAGGAATATGCGGACCCTACATGAACGGGTTCACATTAGCCAAGAAGATCTTGAGACTGGATATTTTGGTTGACTATGGAAAATGACAGTATCCGCTACGTACAAAAGTGTCACCAGTGCCAGATTCATGGGGATTTCATCCGGGTTCTGCCAAATGGGTTAAACGTAACTTGTTTAGCCTGGCCATTTTTCGCTTGGGTCATGGACGTGATTTGACCTATAGAGCCCGCCGTATCAAATGGACATCATTTCATCTTGGTAGCTATCAACTATTTCACCAAATGGGCCGAGACATCTACTTACAAGGCTATCACAAAGAAGGTAGTGGCAAATTTCGTTCAGAACAACATCGTCTGCAGATTTGGAATACTGGAGTCTATCATTACTGACAATGCCACTAATCTCAATAGTGACCTCATAAGAGAAATATGCGAGAAGTTCAGAATCATCCACCATAATTCCACAACCTATAGACCACAAATGAATAGAGCAGTTGAGCTAGCCAACAATAATATCAAGAGGATTCTACGGAAGATAGTGGACAATCACAGGCAATGGCACGAGAAACTATCTTTCGCCTTACTGGGTTATCAGACTACCATGAGAACATCCACCGGGGCAACACCGTACATGTTGGTATACGACATGGAAACTATGATACCTGTAGAGGTCGAAATACCATCTTTGAGGGTTATTCAAGAGGAAAAATTGGATGATGCAGAGTGGATACAGGTCAGACAGAAGCAGCTCATGCTCATCGACATGAAAAGATTGGATGCAGTATTCCATGGTCAGCTATATCAGAATATGATGGCCACAACATTTAACAAGAGAGTGAAGCCTTGCCAGTTCGCACCGGCGCAGTTGGTTTTGAAGAAAATCTTTTCCCATCAAGAAGAAGCCAAAGGAAAGTTCGCACCAAACTAGTAGGGTCCTTACGTGGTTCACCGAGCACTGTCAGGTAGAGCTCTAATCTTGGCAGAAATGGTTGGAAATATAAACACGAAGTCCATTAACTCAGACACAATCAAGAGATACTATGCTTGAAGACAAATAGAGTTAGGTTTTGATGTAACAGAACTACATTCAACCTGATTTCCCACGGAGGGATACATAGGAAACCCATGTAAGGTTCGATTTATCTCTCCCATTCTCTTTTGTAATAGAAAAACCAAATATCACTTTTGCATATTGCTCAAGAACTACGCCGACTTGATTTCCTTAGAAAGGAATACGTAGGCAATCCTCATCGGATTCAATCGTCTTTTGTAACTGAACTACGTTCTGGCCTAATTCCATTTGGATACGTAGGTAGTCTGAGTCAAACTCGGCCATTTTCATTCTTAATCTCATCATTTTGCATCTGTTGTAATCGAACTACGCTTTGACCTGATTCTATTTGGATACGTAGGCTGCATGAGTTAGGCTCAGTCATCTTCATCATATTTTATTATAATCCATGAACTATGTTCAGACCTGATTCCTTTTTGGATACGTAGGCAACCTGAAAGGGTTCGGTCATAACCTTAGGAAAGCCTAGTAATGCATTAGTTCGAATTGGGACACAGTCACAACAACAAGCAGCCGCGTTGTCAAAAGCATCACGGAAGGCCAACATCAACACGACAAAGTTTTCAAGAGGATACGCTCGCATATGGAGAACCTTTCGCAACATGTCATAATCCGGAACGACGACATTTGTCTTAAAAACAAAGTGTTTTCAAAATGTTTTCTAAAAAAAATATATTTATTTGTTCCATCTACCGAACTTTGCGGCGCAGTCATGTCAAAGGCCGGGGCAAATCAACATTGTGGTCGACACAAACCAAAATTCCCACTCCTACTAAGAATTTGTCTTTGAATGTAGGGTTAACAGGGAGTAAGGAAGCAGTAAGTAAGACCACACTGGGGAAAATGACGGATCCGCCACTTGCCTAAGATTATCTCTCTTCCTCCTTTACTTGAATTCTTTTGGTACGACTAAAGCTAACCTTTGAATCCTTTGCAGGTACCTCGGAATCAGACAGCTGATACGGAAAACCCTGTATATAGCAAACTGTCTGCTCAACCAATCGGAGCACCTTGTACAAAGAGAGCCGTCGTCTTCACCAATTGAAGTCCTGTATATAGCAAACCGCCTACTCAACTAATCGGAGCACTCTGTACAAATTAGCCATCGGCTTCACCAATTGAAGTCATGTATATAGCAAACTGTCACCTCAATCAATCAGAGCGCCCTGTACAAGTCGAACGTTGGCTTCGCCAATCGGAGCCTTGTATATAGAAAACTGCAAACTTTGCCAATAATGTGATCCGCATCGCCGCTCCATCACAATGGATGCCAGAATAGATAGTCGCAAACCTCGTCACCGACGTTCTGCCAATTGATGGCCGCAACCTAGCTTCGCAGTCAAGAGTGTCTCTTGAGCATGCTTCTATTTCATTTGCTATTACTTTGAATGTTTCAACGTTTTGCTCATGCAGCTTCAAGCATGATTACAGTTTTAATTAATCACTCCCAAGTGGAGGTTACTTTACATTCTTTAGTGCAAAGCTCTCCCAACAAGAGGATATGCACTCTACAAATCAAGCTCTCCCAACAAGCGAAGACATTTCTCAGTGCAAAGCTCTCCCAACAAGTGGAGACGCACTCTACAAATCAAGCTCTCCCAACAAGCGGAGACAATTTGCAAATGCTCTGACAGTTGCGAAACGGTACACAGCCCGACTAACAAGTCGAGTCAAGATCAAGTATCTCATCATCCCAATCCCAAATAATGGCTCGCCGGCAGCCATACATCATCATTCCTGCATCATTTACATCACATCTTAGTATATTCTGCATTGCAATATATTGGTATGCGTGTATTTCATTTGTTTCACAGGAACAAACACCGCATCATGGAACTTTTCTAAGAAGAAGACCAAACTTCAACACTATGAGGGACAACAAACCCATTAGCGGGCCAAGGATCCAAGTTCAAACACGAAACGACCAGTGAAACTAAAAAATTTCAAATCCTTCAAATCAAGCCACAAAATTTAAGCTGTCATGGGTGCCCAATTCTCCGCCTCGTCGTATCATCATAATATGATACTCGGGCAATTCCTGCAAGTATCGCTTTCTCAAAAACTTTCACTCCAGAACTACATGAGGTCAGATCCTCGTTAAGCCCGAGGTGTGTAAGCAATTCACAGCCAGAATTCGGCCCCAATCTCTCCAAAATTCTTCCCAAACTCCTCCCAAAATCTTCCTTAACTCAATCTTGCAACTCATAATCTTCATGCCACTCTTGTAATGCATGCCTAAAGTCGGGACAAAATTGGCTTTGGTTCAATTTCTTTGCCCGAAAATGCTTTTATTGTCTCCGGTCAAAGAGGGGCAGCTGTTGACGGCCAATTTTGACCCTCCCTTTTTAAATTAATTTATTTATACTTAATAATTTATAATAAGTATTTTGGAAGTGTTTTCTAGTAATAAATACCTATTTTTACAAATTAATTGTGTAATAATTTTAAAATTAATTATGTACTATTAGTATTATGTAATTACAAATATACTTACTATTTTAAAATTATTGAAATAACTTTTATATAGATCACATAGGCCTATATAGTTAATTTAATGAATTCCTCCTTAATTTCTAGTAAATTAGACTACTATGTTAATAATTCAAAATTAGTGTTACAATTTAGAAAACAAAGTATTTTATAAATAATTAATTATAATAATTAGTAGTGTATTTGATAATTATAATTTTTACTATATTTTATTGAAAATAATTAATTTTATTTAAATTAATTGCAAAAAGGTATTAAAAGACAAAAGGCTACAATTGAAATTCTCAACTAAACACAAAGTGGTCATCTATTAAATTTATTTTGGCCCAAATGTGCAAGCCCAATCTGGAAATACCCAGTCCAATAAACCCCTCTCTTTCCATTTTGGCAATCCCTGCCATCACATTTAAACCAATCACCACACGCCACATCACCCGTCTCCAGCACACACAAAACAAACACAAATCATATGGCCGTCCATTTCATAAATCAACGGCCCACATTTTTATTATATTTCCTCTTTAATTTTCAAGCACCCAGGGACTTAATCTCCACCGTCAGATCAAAGAGATCCAACGGCCGACGATTTTCCCGATTGAATTATTTCTAAAATCCCTAAATACCAAAACAATCGGAGCCATTGATCAACAGATCCAACGACTCTCGTTCCATCTCCCAACTAAAACTCAGAGACAGTCCCTAAACCTACACAAACCCTAATCATTTCTCACCTCACCCTGCCGCCTCTCTTTCCCTTTCCTCTCTCTTTTCTCTCATCTCCATCAGCCATCAATCTCCAAAAACCTTGCACAAATTTGTGCATGGTCACTCGAAATCACTCTAAATCATCCCTTCTATTCCTGCTACACCGCAAATCCTGCCTGAACATTCCCATTCTATCGTTACCAATCAAAACCCCTAATCAGAAACCCTAAGCTCGAAAAGGAAAACCTTCAAATAATATGAATTCTCTCATGAGTCACAAATGGAGCCTGAAACCATTATTTTTGCCTTCTGAAAACCGCGAATCCAGCCGACTATTTCCTATCTCATCACTCAAAATTCAAATACCCAAATCTGAAAACCTAGACTCAAAGATGCAATATCAAATCTCGGATTTCTCTCGTGTTCTGTTAAATCCATGGCATGCATGGTATTTCTTCATCACCACCACTGATATTCTTTGTCCAGAGGTCAAACGTAGTGACCTATGGACATTGAGGTCTTATCCGATGGTTCTTTGCCTTCAACGGCCATTCTTCACTCCGGTAAACTTGTTAATCATTTTGTCTCTCTGCCTCCTTAGAGTTTCCCCAGATTTTGCTATCATCATCAATTTTTTGTCACTTTCCACTATTAATTGAATCTGCTAAAACCCTAGAGCCTTAATAGCACTATAGATTGGGCCCTTAATGTTCTCACCTAACATCACCTACCACCACCAACCACTGAAGTAAAACACAACAAAATCACCTAAAAAGGCAGAAAATAAATATAGTAGTTTTAGAATTTCTTCGACTAAGGC